GGAGCGGAGGCGGGAGGATTGCTTAAGCCTAGGAGGTCAGGGCTGCGGTGAGCTAGGATCACACCACCGAACTCCAGCCTGGGAGACAGGAGACGCCATCTCTGAATGAATGAATAATTAATTAAATATGACATAAACTTAATTATCATAATTACATATGATATATACTTAATTATCATAATCAATTAAATGACATATACTTAATTATCATAATTAATTAATATAATACATACTTTCCCCTTCTCAGTGGCTGACAGAACAAGCAAAACTTTTTATCCTTTTAATTTCAGCCTCTCTGTGTCTTTGTATGTAGAATCTCAGGAACAGAGTATAACTTTTAAAACTCTGGCCTGATGATTGTCAACGTTTTATTTGGTGTGTTTAGTTCGCACTGAGTCGAGCTTTTATCTGCTGTCTTAACTCTTTACTTTCCACTCGACGTCATATTTCCACATGCTGTTTTTCTCCTTCCTTGCCTTCCACTGGATTCATAAATTTTAATCTTTATGTTATTTTTCTATTAGTTTGTTAACTAAACGTTAGTGTTCTAGTTTCTAAGTGACCACCCTTGAAATCACAACACGCATCCCGAACAGCTGATACAGACGGTTCCTCCGAGCCCTTTCGTGGCCGTGCTGCAACCTGGGAACCTTGTCTTTGGGTTTCCATCATTTCTGTTGGGAAGTCAGTCGTCAGTCTTAGTTAAGGCCATATGCCATGTTTTCCTGGCTGTCTCTCCACGTCCTGCCCTCGCCCTCGGTCCCAGCAGCGTCACCAGGCTGCGCTTTCTGTGGCTTTCTTGTCTGCGTTGCTTTGCATCTGCGGAGCCTCTTGAACCTGCAGGTCCAGGTGCTCCAGCAGCTTTGGGCAGTCCGTGGTCGCTAGTTTTATGAATACTGCTTCTCCCCGTCTCGGTCTGTTCCATATAAACAACAGAACGTATTTTTCACAGTTCTGGAGACTGGGAAGCTCAAGAGCAAGGCAGATTGCTGAGGATCTGCTTTCTGGCTCACAGATCTGGCCTTCCTGCCTGGATCCCACGTGGTGCGGAAGGGGTGTCTCTGGCATTTCTTTTCTAAGGGCACTGATCCCATTCGTGAGGCTCCCCCCTCATGACCTAATCACCTCCTAAAGGCCCCACTTCCTAATACCTTCTCTTTGGGGGTTAGGATTTCAACATAGGAATTTGGATGAGGTGGGGACACAGATTCAGACCGCATCCCCGCTTTCCATTTCTTCTCCTTTCAGATTCCAGTTACAGGCACGTTGGACCATTTCCCTGTGTCCTCTACTTTTCTGGCTGACATGTCTATATTTTCCATTCTTATCTGTTTTAAATGTTCTGTATTTCCATCACCTGTCCTCCAGTTCACTAACACTGTCTTCAGCTGTGTCTACTCACTTGAGTTCCTAATTTTAGTGACAGTGTTTTTCAGATCTGGCATTTCCATTTGATTATTTTTTTATAGTTTCCAGTCCTCTGGCAAAACTCTCCATTTTCCATTTATTTCCTCTGTCCTTTCTGCTCTTATTTTGAATACATTAGTCCGGGTTGTTCTAAAGTCCTTGTTTAATAACTCCTAGATCTGGATTGTGTGTAGGTGTGTCTTTTTTCTCATGTGTTTATATTTTATTTTTCTTCTTTGTTTTAATCAGAATCCTTTCTTATTTTGTACCTTCTGAGTTTTGATTGGGTGTCACACATTCCCTATTAAAAGAATGTAGAGTGCAGAGATTATCCTGGGTCTGAAAAAATAAAATTAAAAGCACGTAGAGGCTCCAGATGGCTTCCCTTTTCTCTCCCAGGCAGCCAGAGTGAGTTTTGAATTAAGCCACGCGAGGGCAGGTTGTAGTTTGTACAGACTCATCCTAGCTGTGGCTCTGCCCTGTTCTTAGGTTCTCTACCTTCCTGGGCTTTCAGCCAGGGCCAGGTGTCGTCACGGGGTGTCCTCCTCCTGCAGGACGTGAACTCAAATCACTGTTAGCCCTGAGACTGAGCAAGATGCCTCATTGGTTTTCAGTTTGGGTTTTTAAATCCCACGTCTCCTGCCTGCAGAATCTGGCAAATGTCTTAAGGGAAGGACTGGGTGTTTGTTATCTTAGTTCTTCACCTCTCTCTTCCGGGACCTTGGCCTCTCAAGTTTCCTTCTTGTGCCCAAAAGCTCTGCAGCTTGCTCCGTCCCTCAGCAACGGCTCTCTGTCTGGGAAGACTCCGGATTCCCAGCCTCTTGCCCCTTGTGCAGAATGCAAATACGCCCGGAGGCGGTGTTCAGAGGCTGGTCACTGCCTGGGCAGCCCCTCCTCTGGAATGTGGATTCCTCCAGACACCCAGCCTTGTGTCGGGCCTCCTGCGCAGTGCTCTGGCGGGCGGCTGCCACTGCACCCACCAGGCCTCCTCTGCTTTCCCTGCATCGCGGTGTGAATATTCTGCACCCCAGAGCCAGAACAGAGGCTTCTCTGTGTCCTTGCAATGCTTGTACATTTTAAAGATCAAGTTATATAATAGCTTTATTTTTTCAGTATGGAATGGCCAGTTGTCCCAATACTGATCTTACGTCATTACCTCAATTGCTGCCTTTTTCTTTAATGGATGTGTGTGGGCGTGTGTGTGTGTGTGCGCACGCGCATGTGTGTGCCTGTGTGACTGTGCATCTGTGTGTGCACGTGTGTGTCTGCGTGCGTGTGCATGCCTGTGTGTGTGCACCTGTATGTGTGCACGTGTGTGTCTGTGTGTGTGCACGTGCATGTGTGCGCACGTGTGTGCCTGTGTGCGTGTGTCTGTGTGTGTGCACGTGTGTGTCTGTGTGCACGTGCGTGTGTGCACACGTGTGTGCCTGTGTGCGTGTGTGTCTGTGTGTGTGCACGTGTGTGCATGTGCACCTTTGTGTGCGCGTCTGCTTGTGGACATGCTCAGTCTGTTCACATGTCATTTCTAGACTTTGGAAGTGGCCGTACTCCGTAGGATGTAGATGGGATAGCTGGTAGGGGACGTTTCCCCTCTTTGTTCTCATTTTTCAGAATTCTCTTGTCCTGCCAAATTCCACGGAAAGTCCTGTTGGAATATTTTGCTTATTGGAAGTGCACTGAATTTATGCGCTAAATTTGGGGAGACCTGGAAATTCTGCAGTGTTGAATTGAACATCTGCTTTCATGAATGTTTTCTTAATTTCCAAGTACTTCCTGTTTCAGTACTTGGGATTACTGAGTCACAGGACACAGACTTTTTAAAGGCCCCAGGCCTGCTGCAGAGCGCTGGCTGGAAAGCTTGCAGGTTTGTGCTCTCACCAGGGATGCGTGAGCTTGCCCTTCCCTCTCTCCATCCCGGCTCCAACGTCCTGAGACTTTTTCCCGTTTTAAAAATGCAGGGATTTTCAACACAAGGAAACACAGATTCTCAGAGGTCATCCCTTGGTCCACGCTGGCGGCCACTCCTGGCTGTGAGAAGACGTCGTGGCGGAAGCACTCTGGGGTGTACATGCGGCTGCGTCTGTGGCTCTAAGGGGCTGCCGTGCAGGCGGTATGAATCCAACCACATCAGGAACTTATGCCCATTTAGTCGTAGGGTGCCCTGGCACCTCCCCTCCCCTGTAGCCTCTGGAAGAGCTGTTTGCCTGAGGGACAGCCCTGCCCCACATCCAGCATGTTGTGTGTTCTGTGGAGGAGTTCTGGGGAGTCCGGGGGTGGCCGGGGCGGGGTCTGGGAGTTCAGCACCTGCCCTGGTCCCAGGCTCACTGTGCCCCTTTCCTTCTGCAGACACACCCTCCTGCTCTTGACCCTGGGGTTTCCAGGGGCAGCCCAGAGGGGCTTGTCCCTTCTTCACAGCTACGAGGCTGGGGCACTGTCAGAAGGGGCCTTTTGGCCAGATTCTCCCAAGGGTGGCACTTATGGGTGGGGACGACCAGGTGCAAGGTTGCTTTTTCATGGCATCTCAGTGTGGGAGGGATTCAGGGAGGCCACCTAGCCTTTGTTCTCACTGGATTCCTCTGGTGATGGGGACTCACCGCTTAGTGGGCACCCTGGAGTGGAGACAGCAGCTGGTGGAAACCTCTTCATGCTTGCATGGATGCTGTTTCATGGAGCTCTGGCCATTCCTGTAACCAACGGCTCTGTCCTGAGCCTGTCCCTCTCCCTGTGCCCAGGAGCCGCATCCTTCCGGCCCCAAGTCCATTGGGGGAAACCGCAGCATCTGGGAGGTCAGCCCATGGTGGCTGCTTTGTCATTGCTTTGTGGGGAGTTTTCATCGGCCTTCCTCAGAGTCCTAGCACCCCAGAGGCCACCCTGTCATTTCACAGATGGTAAAGTGGGGCCCAGGAAGCTGAGTCACACGGCTGGGGTAAAGGCAAGGCCCAGGCCGGCCCCCCAGCCCTGGCTTGTACAGAGTTCCCCGTGACTCCCGGGCTGCTCCTCCTCAGTGGGGCCTTCGGGAATGTTCTGCTCTCCCTTCCGCGTAAATTACCAGCAGGAAATGTGGCTGAAAACATTGACTTTTGTCCCGTTGCTTAGGGCTGTCTGTCCTGTTCGGTCCGTTTCTGAGTAAAGTTCTCCTTGCTCATTCAGAGAACCTTCTGCTGGCATTCTAGAACACTGCGCCATTTTCAAGCATCCTTGACATGTTGATCTGAGACCTCACTAGCTCTTGGGGCCTGCACAGACCTGGCATGGAGCCCACCGGGGCCTGTGTCCTCAGGGGAAGCCCCTGCCTGGGGAATCTGCTGTGGGAGGGAGTGAAGGCCACCTTCGTGTTCACACCTGTTCACGCCGAGGTCGCTTTGTTTCTTTTGCCAGGTTCCAGCTTCCCCAGGCTTTCGAAGCTGGGTTCCACTAGTCCCGCTGGTTTCTAGAATGATCTGTGCTGCCCCCCTCCTTGTGGATTCCACCCCGTTCATGTGTCACAGCGGGGGACTTTGGAAGGGAGTGGGGAAGGCCTGTGGCTTCAGCTGCAGCAGAGCGCGGGTCTTCCCTCTTCAATGTTTCTAATTCACGTTTCCCTTTTTCCCCAGGTGATTGCCCTGCTCACTGGGGCTCCCACTACTGCAAGGAGTGACCAACGAAGGCCACCGAGATGGCCGGGGCTTCGGTGAAGGTGGCGGTGCGGGTCCGCCCCTTCAATTCCCGGGAAATGAGCCGAGACTCCAAGTGCATCATTCAGATGTCTGGAAGCACGACCAGTGAGTATCAGCCTGTGTGGCAGCGCGGCCGCCGTCCTGTGCCTATGGGTCCGGCTCAGCGTCAACCTGGCCCAGGCCCCAAGAGCAGCATCCCCCTCCTTGTCTCTGCGGTGCAGGGGTGTCCTGGGGCTGCGGTAACAAACTGCCACCAACCGTGGTGGGCTTCTAAGAACAGACATTGACCCTCACGGCTGTGGAGGCTAGAAGTCCAAAGTGGAGGTGTCCGCAGGGCCTCACTGTCTCTGAGCTCCTAGGGAGGATCTTTCCTGCCCTCTCCGAGGTCTGGCGGTTGCCAGCCACCTTGGCTTGCAGTGACGTTGCTCTGCTCTCTGCCTCTGTCGTCACCTGGCCTTCTCTGTGTGTCTGTGTTTCTGCTTTCACAGGACTTTTTTATGCGATACCCATCACTGGGTTTGGCTTTCTTATGAGGACACCCGTATCTGTCCCCACGTATCCCAACCATATCAGTATCTGGGAGCAAGAACCAATTGTCATCTCTCAGTTCTGTGGCTGGCTGGGCTTGGCGGGGCTCAGCAGGGCGGTTTGTGCTGGGGCCTTTGCTGCTGTCAGCTGCACAGAGCGGTGACATGCACAGCCACCTGGTCTTCAGGATGTGGACAGTGACGGAGCCTCTCAGTCATGTGCTCTGCACTCATACAGCACCCCCTCATCTATTACCTACTTGTGGAGGGGGTGACCTGAGGGGAGGGCACTCAGGGCCCATGGACATTTCCTCCCTAGGTTTGGTCTCTGAGGCCTGCTTAGGGGCTGAAGATTCAGGTGTTGATGGGGTGCTCTGGGCTCTGTTGGGTCCTGTGGAAGTGGGTGTGGCCTAGGGGTGATCCTTCCAGAAGCCCATGGAGCTCTGTGGCCACTCATGTTGCAGTGGGCAGGCTGCAGAGACCCTGCTAAACTCCAGGGTGTGGGAGCTCCTGTGGCTGTGGGGCCCAGTGCACTTCGGGGTTGCATCCTGACTGTTCTTCGAGGTGAATTCTTTTGTCTGTTTGGTCCCTGGAAGCAGACCCAGAGGCAAGGATTTGGGTGCCAAGAGTTTGTTTCGGAGGTGGTCCCAGGATGAGCTGTGGGAGAGTGGGGAGGCTTGCGGGGAGGCTGACGAAGGTGCGTTCTAAGTGGGTGACCCCCGTGGCTGGGGGCCTGGCCTTGCTGGGGCCCTTGGACGAACACAGTGTGCCTCTGGGTTGCCCTGCCCAGGAGTGCGAGGGCTTTTCAGATAATGCCAGCTGCCTTAGCTGACTGCGGGCCTGGCCTTTGGGGTTGGAAAAAGTGCTCAGGTGGCAGGACCCTGGCCTTTAAGTGGGAAGCCTCTGACTCTGGGTGGGAAAGGTGAGTTCAGGTGCAAACCATGGCTCTGGGTGTGAACTCTGACTCCAGGTGGAAGTGACCAGGAGCACTGTGACCCTGGGTGGGCAGAGGGCATCTGTGTCATGCCCACAGGCTCTTTGTAAGGTGTCCCAGCACATCAGGGAGGGCCCTGGGAATGCCCTTCCACCCCCACTGGGTGCCGGCCGCACAACTGCCACCTCAGTCTTGCATGTGGGGTCACGGGGAGCTCCACGGTTGGCACAGTGACAAGAACCAGACCCCATGGAGCAGCTGAAGACCACCAGAAGCCGCGTGGATGAAAGAACAAAGTCTCAGCGATGGGCTCCTCCTGTCCCTGAACCTTGGGGATGGCCCAACCTCAGGCCAGACCCTGGAGGACAGGGTTGGGCAGGTGGGCGGGCTGGGGCGGGTGTCCCAGAAGTGATGGCCGGTGGGCCACTGGCTCCCTTGCAGCCTCCAACCTGCCCCTGACCTGGGGTGGGCAGCGTCTCCAGTTTGCATTTCCCCTCATAGGCTCCAGAAGTGGGAGGGTACAGCCTGGAGGGGAGCCAGTGTTGCCAAGACCTGGACATTGGCGGTGCTGCCCACCCAGTGAAAGGTGGTCTGGCCGAGGCTGTGCCAGCCCAACCCCCGCTCCCCTAGAGCTGCTGGTTCAGAGACAGCAATGCAGGCCTGGATCCCAGACCTCACACCCCAGTGGTTTTTGCCTGCCTCACTCCACCCTCTCCTCTGCCCCAGGGCTTAGGAGCCAGAGGCCTGAGCCACATCCGTGGGCAGCCACGTTTCCTGAGCCACATCCGTGGGCAGCCACGTTCCCCGAGCCACATCTGTGGGCAGCCACGTTTCCTTAGCCACATCTGTGGGCTGCCACGTTTCCTGAGCCACATCTGTGGGCAGCCACGTTTCATTAGATGCGTGCTTCAGATGCTTGGATTCTGCCTGGCCCCGAAGACCCTGGACTTCTGGGATTTTGCCTGTGTGCCAGCAGCCTCTGCTCCCCACTGAGCTCTGAGCAGGTCCAGGCAGGTCCAGGAGGTCAGCAGGGAATGCAGGAGCCCTACACTCTTTTTGGACAACTGGTAGGTCCTGAAGGAACCTCCCTTTCTCAAAGGTGAGCATGTGTGGACACCAGCATCTTCCAGGAATCACCAAACCAAAACCCATGTCTGCGGGGTTCTGAGGCCAGCAGGAGGAAGGGCTGTGGACCCAGAGCTGGGGTAGAGAGCCCGCCAGGGCATTCCTCCAGGACACCTGGGATGCTTCAGACGTCGTCACTTTCATCCTCAGGAAACCGAAGAGCCACAGAGCCAAGACCGCACATGAGATCAGTGTCCTGCCCACTGTAGCCAAGGACGCGCCAAGAAAGCTGGGGCCCAGGTTGGCCCGCATGCAAAAGGCGGGTGTGAGGGCGGCAGGGACAGGCACCCAGGCCATGTGCTGGGGGCGTCTGGTGATGGGTATCAGATGGGTGATACCCATCCTGCGTGCATGAAATGCAACAAAGATTACCCAGCAAGTGTGCAAAGCCGTGTAGTCAAAACCCTGCTGCGGTGTGTTTAAGATGAAGTCTTACTCAGTTGCCCAGGCTGGAGTGCAGTGGTGCGATCTCGGCTCACTGCAACCTCTACCTCCCAGGTTCAAGCGATTCTCCTGCCTCAGCGTCCGAGTAGCTGGGACTACAGGCACCTGCCACCATGCCTGGCTAATTTTCCCCTGCCTACCTGGCATTCCTTGGGCACCACCTGTGCCCTGTCCCAGGAGGGCCCCCACCTCAGGGAGCTCATGGCCACCTGGGGTGTGGCACAGGGGCCAAGGCTGGCACCCAGAGCTGGCCAAGGGTGGGACGAGGAGCAGAGGCAGGGAGGAGGCTGAGCTGCCTGGACTTCAGTGACTGCCAGGATCCAGGTATTTTTAGTACCGTGGCATTTTTGGTGGAGATGGGGTTTCATTGTGTTGTCCAGACTGGTCTTGAACTCCTGACCTCATAATCCACCCGCCTCGGCCTCCCAAAGTGCTGGTATTACAGGCCTGAGCCACTGTGCCTGGCCCTGGTGCTGTTTTATCAAGCCCAGGACTTGCCCAAATGCCTGCCCACTGGGAGCTGCTGAAGAGACCTTAAGTCTGTCCCAGCTGTGGACTTGAGTGCTCCGGAAAGCTTCGTGTTTACAGCCTCGGGAAAACACTACACGATGTTGGGGGGAAGGCGGCAAAGTCAGCACAGAGCTGGAGAACGAGACTGCGTGGAGGTAAAGGGCAGACGGGCACCCACGCACGGCAGGTCCTGTGTGCATGGGACATGAGTTTGCGTGGGAGACAGCAGGGTGCGGGCAGGGCAGAGAGTGGCAGAAGAATGAGCAATCAGGAAAAGTGTCTAGAAAAGCTGTTTTCATTTTGGAGAAAGCAAACCAGTGCCGGTTCTGGGAGAAAGTGCTGGAAGCCGTGTCGGAAATCTGGGTGAAGGGCTGAGGGAGCCAGAAGAGGAGGGTGCCTTCTAGCCCTGGTGCAGGGAAGCCTGCCGGAGGAAGCGGTCATGGGCTTTCTCCTGGAGGTCCAGGGGCCAGGGTGTTCTAGAGGGCTGGCCTGGCCCAGAACAAGCTCCAGGAGGACACCTGCAGATGGGGCATGAGACAGGTGCGGGCAGTGCCCCCCTGCCAAGGAGTAGGCACAGGAGCCGCTGTTCCAGATGACCGCTCAGCTGCAGCTTGGTTAAGTAGAACCGGGAGAGGCTGCCCTGGCTGCTGCGTCAGCCCCCTGGAGGATGTTGGGGGGCTGTGTCAGGCCTCTCAGAGGATGTCATGGGGAAGTGACCTGGTCAGCCTGCCCTGCCTGCTTGCAGTCTCAAAACACGAGGAGAGGCCCCGCTGTAAAGCGTGCCTTGTAGCTCCGCTGTGGCGCAGAAATTGGAAGCATTTGAAAGTAAATCCAACTGTCAACCTGTAATCGTCACCTGCGTAAAGAATCCACTTCCTGTAACGCACCAAAGCTGGCCGTTTTGTGAGCCGGCCGAGCCGTCTGTGAGGTGCGCTCCGGTCCGGCCTGGCCGAGCTGCAGGCTGGCTTAGGGGTAGAGTCGGTGTGACTCCTCTGCCCTCCTCCTCCCTCCTCACGTCCCATTTTCTGCCCTGAGGACCCTGAGCCTGCCCAGCCGTTCTGCAGATGCGGCCCCTGAAGTGAACTCCCGGAGTCAGGGGCGTGGCTGTGCTCGTGTGATCCAGTGATCACTGTGTGAACCTGGCCGGACGGCATCGCTTTGGGACTCAGGTTCCCCACCCGTGCAGTAGCGAGGGGTGGTGCTGGGTACCCTGAGATCCCCAATCATTTCTGCCCTCTTCTGGCCATGCAGAGGAGGCCCAGGGTTGGGGTGGCCTCTCATCCCTGCCCTCGCCCACAGACTGGGTGTGACCCCAGGCCCCGGCCCCCACTGTGGGCTCGGCTCCCCCAATCCTGAGCAGTCGGGGAAACAGGCGAACCCCTCTGCACAGGAAGCAGAGGCATCCGTGTGGTCCCCCGGGCTGCTGTTACAAAGCTACATACTGAGTGGCTTCAGCCGACACAAGTGCCTCCCCTGTTCTGGAGACCAGCCTCTGGCATCCAGGGGTGCTGGAGAGTGGGCATCTTAAACAGCAATGTTCGCTTCCCAGTGGCCTGGAGCTGGAAGTCCAATCAAGGTGCCTGCAGGTCTGCCTTCCTGCTGCGACCTCGCCTGGGTCCCCTCCCCTTCTTTAAAGCCACTCATCCCACCATGAGGTCCCCGGCTTTGTGGCTTCATCTCACCCTTATCCTCTGACAAGGCCCCTCCTCCAATTGCCATCTGGTTGGGGTCAGGGCATTGCATATAGATCTGGGACACACTCCACCCACAGAACGCTCCGACGGGGACAGCCAGCTCAGTCCAGCCTCAAACCTAGTGCTCAAGGCCACAGGGATGCCGGGACTCTGAGAACACGGCTGCATCCGTTCCTTTCCCCTCCCCGTCCTCCAGCGCCCCTGATCCCTGCCCACCGTCTCTGTCCTGTCCCAGTGGGCGTCCAGCCCTTTGCAGGCCACGCAGAGCCCTGGGAAGGCTGCCTGGAATTGGGCAGCTCACTGGCCTCAGAAGGGCCAGCTCTGGGGGCCTGGCCAGAGCCCGGCAGGAGGGGATGGGGGCCCTAAAGAGGCTGGTCGAGGAGCCCAGCCCAGCAGGCCCCGGAAGAACCTGTTTCTCTCTCCTCCCTCCTCAAACCCGCACAAGGGAAAAATTCCAGGCCCTGGCAAAAAAAGGCCTTTCTCCAGCAGACTCCGTGCAGGCTTTGTGAGAAGCGGGCTGCGGAGGGAGGCTGCCCGTCTCCACAGGCCTGGCGGACCCCTGGCTGGGAGGTGTTTTGGGGACTCTGGCTTCGAGTCTGACTGTGTCATGTGACCTGCGGAGAAGACATTCCCTCTCTGGAGCTTGGGGCCCATCTGTAGTGACAGAGGATGGTTCTCAGCCATAGCACAGGGTGCGGGGCGGGGGGGAGGGGGGGCGGGGGCGGGGGCGGGGGCGGTGGGGGGATGGCAGGGCAGGGCCAGGGTGGGGTGGGGGTCCCAGTCATAACACAGGGCCGGTGGGAGGGGCGGGGCAGGGCCACGATGGGGAGGGGGTCTCAGACACAATACATGGCCTGGGGGGATGGGGACAGGGTGGGGTAGTGGTTCCAGCCACAACAGTGCCTGGGAGGCGTGGGGGCAGGGCTGAGTGGGGTGGGGTCTTCACAACAGAGGCCTGGGAGGGGTGGGGGCCCAGGGCAAGCAGGCCTGAGGGATTCTCCCATGGGCCCTTTACAGCGGCGACTGGGCCCCAGTCCCGCCCACTCACCCATGCTGCCCTCAGTCCCCTGCCTACCTGGCATTCCTTGGCACCACCTGTGCCCTGTCCCAGGAGGGCCCCCACCTCAGGGAGCTCATGGCCACCTGGGGTGTGGCACAGGGGCTTCATCTGAGCAAGGCTGGCACCCAGAGCTGGGCAAGGGTGGGACGAGGAGCAAGGGCGGGTTGGGGTGTGGGGAGGAGCACGGCTCAGTGCAGCCGGTGAGGAGAGGGTGGATGGGGCAGGTGGGAGTGTGGGATGGGAGCCCGGCCTGTGTGGGGAGCTGGGCCCGAGGGCAGCGGGTGAGGGGATGAGGTGGACAGGGTGGGTGTTGCTGGCTTGAGCAGGGGTCGCGGGGCTCTGTGTCGGGCTGGGAGCCCTGGCTGGGCTGAGCTTGGGAAGGTGCTGCCATTGTTTCCATAGCACTGATTGATGGTTGATCTGGGGGCTCTGGAGGTGGCGCCACAGGTGCTGTTACCTGGGTCCTGGCAGGCACTGAAGTCTGGGCAGCTCAGCCTCTGCCTCTGCCTCTGCCTCTGCTCCTGGACACAGCACGGATGTGGCCTGTCAGCTCCAAGGACAGGGCTGTGACAGTCAGTCCCCGGCTCCCTCCGGCTGGATGCCCAGGGTACCTAGGTGTTTCCTGTAAATCCTTAGGCCTGGGACAGAGGCCCAGGTGGGACCGGAAGCTGGATGTGCCCTGGGGACAGGGCTGCCAGTGACGCCTGCCGGTCAGTAGGACATGTGGCCAGAGAGCATGGCCCGGGCACCATGGAGCCCGGAGCAGCCACGGAGTGTGGACGGGTGGACGGGGTCTCAGTGCCCCACGCTGCCATGAGGAAGCACCACATGCAGGAGCGTCTCTCGTGATCCTGCAGACCAGATGTCTGAGATCTAGGAGGTGGCAGGGGCGGCTGCTTCAGAGCCATGGGGGGCACCGTCCAGGACCCCTGGCTTCTGGGGCTTGGGGCTTCACCTTGACCTTTGCCCTCGTGTTCTCATGGCGCCCTCCCCGTGCAGGTCTATCTCCAAATCTCTTTTGTAAGGACGTGGCGGCCCTAGGTGAGGGCCCTTCTTCATGGGGTGGACCTCATCTCACCGAACTACCTCTGCAACGAGTTTATCTCCAAGTGAGGTCCCATTCTGAGACAGCGGGGGTTAAGACTTCAAACTGTGAATTTGGAGGGACACAGTTTAACTCATAACGGGGCTGCTTTGTTCTCCGTGGCACTGGTGGCAGGTCCCAGGGTGCCTGGTGGTGCAGAGGGTGCGGGCGTCCTAGAGGCTGTGCCACAGCCCCAGCCCACGTTGGCTGAGAAAAACCAACTGGGGCAGACAGACTTCCATCTCCAGCCTCAATCTCCAGCCTCCATCTCCCAGACTCCATCTCCAGCCTCGATCTCCAGCCTTCATCTCCCAGCTGGGGCGGTGGTGTGAGCGCTTCCTTCTTCAGGCTTGATGGCGTGATGGCGGTGGTCTCCGGGACCCCCGACCAGGATGGGCCAGGGTTCCTCCTGGGTGTGAGAACTGAGAGGGGACTGCCTCGGGCCTCCAGGCCTCTGTCAGCACCCTTCAGACCATGTTCCAGGGTGGAGCATGTCCTGTCCTTCCGTCCACTGAGGACTCACAGCCTGTGGGGTGCAGATCCTGGGCCTGGGAAACGCTAGGGGCAAGGCCGGAAGGAGGCGGTGGGTTGCTGGGCTCCTGAGACACTTGCAGGCCATGTGGCTGGGGGACCTCCTGGGACAGACATTCTGGGACAGCTCCTGGGATGCCCCCCAGGCACCGGCTGTGGGTGGTGGCATCCTCACATGTTCATGTATTTTCTCTGGGTTTGATGAACAGCATTTTGTGGGCACTGCCTGAAGCCAGCCCAGGGTGGGTTTGATGAACAGCATTTTGTGGGCACTGCCTGAAGCCAGCCCAGGGTACCTGGAGTTGGGCTTGAAGCTGGGTCGATGAGGGAGGAGGGAGGATGGACTCTGGCAGACGTCATTCCCAAAGAGCTCAGTTCAGAGTAGAAGGAGCTGCACAGGTATGGCACCAACGTGGCAGATGCCCAGGCTCCCAGTGCTTCTCAGGCATTCAAGAGCTGAGCTGGAGCCTAAGGGCCTGGGCAGGGGCAGGCACCCCAGTGTGGGCCGCAGAGATGGAGGGGCTGCGGCTTGCCGCGGGGAAGGGGCCTCCAGGGTGGCTGCCTTTGCGGGAGCCGGTTGGACTGGGTGGGAGAATGACACAGATGCTTGCAGGTTGGTACAGTGACGCCTTCGGGCATTCGTGGGTGTCAGGGCCCACCATGAAGAGAGGGTAGAGACAGCTCGCTTGGCTGGCGTGGGGCCTAGGTCCCCTCCGATTCGTGGGCTTGACTCATCTGGGGCCCGAGGCCTCTTAGGACCACCTCCCTACCTGGCAGTGTCGATGCCAGCTAGCCAGGGTCCCTCCCGGCACAACACTGACACCTGCGTTCCCTCCCACAGCCATCGTTAACCCCAAACAGCCCAAGGAGACTCCCAAAAGCTTCAGCTTCGACTACTCCTACTGGTCGCACACCTCGGTGAGCCGGGGCCCCGGGTCAGGGGAGGCGGGAAGCAGTGTGGAGCCACATGGCCCTTGGGGTCCCTCCACCTCTCTGAGCGCTCATTCCCCTCTAGCTGGGGCGAGGACCCCACCCTGCTCTCCTGGACCCTGCTCCACTCAGGGTCCCCAGCTAAGGCAGTGACAGAGGCTGCGGGGCTGAGGGGCCGTCAGCTCCCTGCAGGTAGTTTCCAGGGTCAGAGCTGTGTGTCCGTCCAGCTGCTCCAGACATCTCAAAGTCAGAATGCCCGCAGCTGACCCTGGGCCTGCCTGGCATCTGTGCCCCGCACACTGGGACCCCAGGAGACACTGGACTCTTCTGCTTCCCCCCTCCCCCATCCAGTTCACACCGGGCCCTGTCCTCCACCTGCCACCTCCCTGACCCTTCTAGAAGCCACGCAGCCTCCTCACCTAGGGCCCTCATATCTACGTCTCTGAGATCTGCCCCCCACAGCAGCCCCAAGGCTCCCCGCTTCGGCCCACCCCATCCAGACAGTCCTCCTTCCAGGATGACCCCCAGCAACCATGCTGTCCCCTACCTAAAGTGCCCCGCTGCCCTCAGGACAGTGTCCAGGTGCTGTAGCTCAGCCTGTGGGATTTCTGGGCCTTTCACCCTGTCCCCAGCCCCAGCTCTTGTCACCTCTGCTTGTCACAGTCACACGGAACTTCAGAGGTCCTACCTCTGGGACTTTGCGTGGGCTGTTCCCCCTGGAACCTGTTCTCCCGCCTGGCGGCCACTCTTCATCCCTCACCTGTGACAAAGAGCCCCTCCTCTGGGACTCTGTCCCCCAGGCAGGATTAGGATGAGGTCAGGCGACCCTCCCCGCTCTGCTGCCCTGGTACCCCGGCTCCTTGGACACAATGGGCTGAGCCTCGGGGCATCCAGCCTCCTGCAGCTTCGTCTCCTCCTTGTCCCCCAGCCCGAGGACATCAACTACGCCTCGCAGAAGCAGGTGTACCGGGACATTGGCGAGGAGATGCTGCAGCATGCCTTTGAGGGGTACAACGTGTGCATCTTCGCCTACGGGCAGACGGGCGCCGGCAAGTCCTACACCATGATGGGCAAGCAGGAGAAGGACCAGCAGGGCATCATCCCGCAGGCACGAGGCGGGGGCGGGCCTGTCGGACGGGGCGGGCCCAGTTGAGACTGAGAGGTCTGGGCCAGGCAACCCTGCAAGCAGCCCCCAGAGAGCAGGGACTGAGGAGGGGCAGGCCAGCTGGGTCAAGGGTAGGGCTGGGCAGGTGAGAGAGCCAGGTGTGGCCGTGAAGCTGCCAACCCAGGCGCCAGTGCAGGGTGGGCCTGGCCTTGATCATGCGTGTAAGACAGGGCAGTGGGAGAGCCGTGGCGGGGGTAGCTGATCTCGGGGGGTGTGAGGGCTGGCGGTGCGGGCAGAGAGAGTGCTCAAGACTGGGCTGACCGAACAATGAGACAGCAGCTCCTCCTTGGCTGCAGGAAGCCTGAGTCCCCAGCCATCCCCCTGGGCAGGTGTCTGGACCTGAGCTGGTCACCACTTCTTTGCCTGCAGAGGGAAGGGAGGTCGCTGGGTATCTGTGGGATGGCGGAGCCAGGGCGAGGGGCAGGTGGCCCACAGGAAAAGATCAGATATCAGCCAGCTCCTAGGCTACGGACTTCCTCAGTGCCTTTACCGTGACATGTGCGTGGCGAGGGTGCAGGAGGGGCCTGAGAAGGTGGACCCTGCCTGGCGCAGGCTGCCCACAGCACCCCAACGGGGGATGCAGGGAGCAGCCCCAGCCCTCCCCTGCTCACCGTCCCCATTCCCGCAGCTCTGCGAGGACCTCTTCTCTCGGATCAACGACACCAGCAATGACAACATGTCCTACTCCGTGGAGGTAGGTCCCCCCACCCGCCATCGGCCCTGGGGCAGGGCTGGGAAGCGCGGGGTCTGGCAGTGCCTTCCTCATGCCACGTGAGTGCCCTCCACTGGTCTGCACACCCAGCTTATCCCTCGCTCTTCCAAGTGCAAGTCGGCAGGCCTGGGCAGGGCTCGAGCCCCCCGAAGCACAGAGCGGTTAGGGGATCCCTGCCTGGCAGGGTCCTCTCCAGCAGCTGGTCTGTGCTGGGGCAGGGGCTGGCACCTCAGAGCTCAGGGCCTGGCCATGCCTGCCATGCCCGAGGTGGCCCTGGCAGGCCTGTGTCCTTGAGCCCAGTATGGCCGTGGGGAGGGAGGCCACATTGACAGCCCTGTCTGGTACATGCACACAGGGCTGCAGACAGGGAGCCCTGTGTGTGTGCCCCCAACCCAGCACGAAGTCCCCACCCCTCACTCAGGGGTCCTCATGGTGACCCAACCCCCTCATTCAGGGGTCCCCCCACTCCCTGACCTCAGGGGTCCCTGATGGCCTGGCTCTGCCCTGCAGGTCAGCTACATGGAGATTTACTGTGAGCGTGTCCGTGATCTCCTGAACCCCAAGAACAAGGGCAACCTTCGAGTGAGGGAGCACCCGCTGCTGGGGCCCTACGTGGAGGACCTCTCCAAGCTGGCTGTCACCTCCTACAATGACATCCAGGACCTCATGGACTCAGGGAACAAGGCCAGGTGGGTTGGGGGACTCGCTGGCCCTCCCTGTCCTCCTGTCCCACCGGCCCTTTTCTGTGGGGTCTGTGCCAGCCCGAGAGAGGCTGAGAGCTCACCCTGTGCAGGGGACACCATTACCTCCATGGGCTGCTCCTTCATGGGGGTCTGCATCCTCCAGCTGAGGCGCCTGGGGGGTGCTGGCAGTGTCTGTGGCAGCAGGGGCCAGCGTGCTAGTGTCGGGGTGTACGTGGGGAGGGGCGGCCGCACAGTGCTGCAGCCATGAGCAACCTGGCTCCTTGGCCTCTGCTGCCTTGGGCCCCCTGCCCAAGATGCCCGGGATGTCATGGCAACAGACCCTCCCCCCTCTGCCACCCAGGACTTCCTGAGGGTGAGGCGATGACCCCTGTCACTCTCAGCTCCTGAGGTCGGAGGTTGGGAGTCACACTCCTTGCCATCCTGCACCCCCTTGGTGGCCCTAGGAGGACCAGTGGGGGGTGCTACTCCTGACAAGGCCCTCAGCGCGCCCTAGCCATCACCATGACACCGTGCAGAGCTGGGGCCCTGGGCTACTTGCATGCTGTGGGCTGAGTCTTGGGAGCCTTCCCTGAGGTCCCTGGCAGGTCAGGGTGGCATCGGGGCCACCCTCAGCAGCCTCGGGCTTCTTGTTCTGGAGGACACCGCCGCTGACCTGTGCCACCTCCTGTGGGGAGCTGCGGGCTCCTTGGGCTTCCCAGAGCCTTGGGCATGGGCCATGGTCGGGTGGACAGCTCTGGAGGGCTCCTGCCCAGCTGCGTGCTGTATGGGCTTCTCTATCCAGGAGTGGGACACTCCCCCAGTCACTGCTGCCCTAAAGACGCCAGGCAGGGGCTGAGGCTGTGAACGCCACTGTGGGCAGGCGGCCGTGGGCCCTGCTGGAGCCTTGGCAGGAGGCACCGTAAATGCCAGCCCAGGCAGGGCGGCTCCTGGGGTTTGGGGGAGCTGCCCCCCGATGACCTGGTCCATAGGGCTGGTACCACTGGTGACCTTGCACCTGGCCACAGGATGAGGGGTAACCGTGTGTGGCTTTCTGCTCCTCAGGACTGTGGCGGCCACCAACATGAATGAGACCAGCAGCCGTTCCCACGCTGTCTTCAACATCATCTTCACCCAGAAGCGCCATGATGCAGAGACCAACATCACCACAGAGAAAGTGAGTGTGCAGTGGCATGGTGGAGCCACCCAGGGCAGTGGGTGGTCAGGCCAGTGGGGGCAGCACAAGGGCGCCATGCCCGATACCCACCTGCGGTGGGGGCAGTGTCCTTATGCTGATGCTGGCACCAGGTAGGGACATCCCCAGCCCATTGCGCACCTCGGTGGGGGTCAGCCAGGCCTGCAAGGCCCCCTCATCTCAGCAGGGGGCATCGGGCACGGAGGGGAGTCCTGGCCTGTGGAAGGCTGGGCATGGGGGGCTCCTGGGCTGTTGTGGTGGGTGGAGAGCGTGGGGGGCTGTGGAAGGCTGGGCATGGAGGGGTTCCTGGGCTGTTGTGGTGGGTGGAGAGCGTGGGGGGCTGTGGAAGGCTGGGCACGGGGGGCTCCTGGGCTGTTGTGGTGGGTGGAGAGTTTGGGGGGCTGTGGAAGGCTGGGCACGGGGGGCTCCTGGGCTGTTGTGGTGGGTGGAGAGCGTGGGGGGCTGTGGAAGGCTGGGCATGGAGGGGCTCCTGGGCTGTTGTGGTGGGTGGAGAGTGTGGGGGGCTGTGGAAGGCTGGGGATGGGGGGCTCCTGGGCTGTTGTGGTGGGTGGAGAGTGTGGGGGGCTGTGGAAGGCTGTCCTTGCGGCTTTGCTGCAGGCCAGGGCACAGGGATGAGGTGCAGCGTGCCTGGATGGCCCTTGGAGGGTGGCAGTGAAGGTGGGTGGTGGGCCAGGGTGGGCCTGTGCCAAGGTGCTGTGGGCCCTGGTGCGGGCTGGTGGACCGGGGTCCCCCCACCCAGGCCCGACAGCTGGGCCCTGGACTGGGGGCAGGGCCTCGCCATGGGTGCTGACATCTGCAAGCACAGAGGGGCATGTGTGTGGGCAGTGTCACCCTGCCCACTGCCCCAGCCCCAGAGGCCCTTCTCCTACACCTTGGCATTCTCCGTGGACCAGGCCATGGGGCCGCCTCCTGGGGCCTTGCCTGGACAGCTAGTCTCGGCTTCCCGGAGGGGCAGGGGCCGGGAACCCAGCCTCTCCCTGGCCGTGTCTGACTCTGCCCCCTGCCCTCTCGCCCTGGCCGTCAAAGCAACTCCCAGGAGTACCTCAGCCGTTTCTGGGTGGGGGCTCGCTCAGGCAGCTTCGTGGGGAGCGCAGAGGGCTCAGTCCCCAGTGGTGTTGGAGGTCGCTGGCTCAGGCAGCCAAGTGGGGAATACACAGCTCTGGGTGGAGTGAGGGCTGCTCAGTCCCTGATAGTGCTGGTGGGCCCCCACGTGCATCCTCCTGACCGGTACCCTTTGAAGCAGTGAGAGGGGGCCTAGGATGGCTGAGGTAGGTTGGGGGACAGACAGGGGTGAAGCTGGAGGAGGTCAGCCCAGCTGCCTGCTCCACTGCCCTCGCTAGGTGGGTACTGAGAGGGTCCTGTGGCGTCCGTAGGCAAGTCCTGCCCTGAGCTGTGGCTCAGGAGGGGCCAGGCCTCTGGTGCAGGGAACCCCACCCCAGGCTGTGGGTGCCCCAGTCAGGAGCCTGGCCAGTGCCCGAATGACTAGGTGCAGCCATGGACTGTGAGGCGGCTGAGCAGGGCAGGGCCCTCCTGGAGCTGGGTTCCACTCCCACCATGGACGCTGAGCACCGTCTGTGGACGTGGGGACCGTGACAGATGCACCCCGTGGGTGCTGTGGGGAGCGAGTGTGCCCTGTGTGAAGAGTGCCCAACGTGTGGCGGCTGTGCCCACGCTCCCCCCCAGGAGGTGGCTGGGCACTTACTCAGGCAGGGCATAGGGAGAGCTGGGACGGAGGAGTGGGTGGAAACTGCAGGGTCGGGACCACTGGGCCCAGGGAGGGGCGGCGCCTTGCAGAGGGGACGCTTGGCCGGGGCTCCCCCAGCGGCCCTGGAGACCTTGCCTGGGGGTCCTGGGATGTGGCATCTCCTGCATGTGACGTGTCTACTGTTTCAGGTGAGCAAAATCAGCCTGGTGGACTTGGCCGGGAGTGAGCGGGCCGACTCCACGGGAGCCAAGGGCACGCGCCTCAAGGTAGGGGCCAGGCTGCCACGTGGGGACTGCAGTGGGCCCGTGTCCACACTTGGCCTGCTCCAGGGTGGGCGGCAGGAGAGCTCTGCTGGGGGCCTGAGCCACCCCGAGGGTGAGCCTGGGCAGGGAGGGTGGGCACAGGCCAGGGCCTTGGGCCACCCGCAGCTCTGGGCTGTGCCTGGGGCACCAGGGGCCTGGCGGGAAGGTGGCACACAGGTCAGGGTCCTGGAGGGACAGTGACCTCTTGTGGGCCCCGAGAACTTTGCACCCAGTGGCTGGGTATTCCCAGTGTTGGGGTCAGGAAGGAATGTTCCCCCCGCCCACCCCCCCTCCACTGGCCTGGGCGCCTGATACTTAAGCAGTGGCTCCAGAAGTGGCTTGGGGGGACACAGGATGGTATCAGGGTTCGCATGGAGCTGAGGGCAACACTGGGGGACACGCTCCCGGCCAGAAACTCCAGCTGGCTTCCTGCCAGGGCACCCCATGCCTGTGTGGCCCCAGAGGTCAGCAGCTGGGGCGGCTGCTTCCGCCTCATAGTGCGTGGTCCGTCTAGAGCAACAGACCCCAGAGACCCTGGTGTCCCAGCGCCACCCTCTTCTCTGCCCACAGGAGGGGGCCAACATCAACAAGTCGCTCACCACCCTAGGCAAGGTCATCTCCGCCCTGGCTGAAATGGTGAGTGGCCCAGGCGGCTTTTGCAGCCAGACCCCCCCCAGAGGGCCTTCCAGGCCCCCATCTTCCCCTGTCACCCCCGTTTCCAGGCCCTGTGTCTGGGAGGTGGCCAGAGTGTCACACGCTGGGGAAGGGGTAGTGGCCCTGGTTTCTCCTGGGGGTCTCAGTTTCCTTGCCTGTAAAGTGGGGCTGTGGCCACGGTTGGCCCCATGCCGCGGCAGACCCATCCCCCAGCACCACCCAAGACCTGGGCTCTGGAGGGGTCCCTGCCCCAGGGGAGCTGCTGTCCGGAGACCTCAGAACAGCAGAGCCAGGGCGAGGGAGCCCGGCCGCCTGCTCTTCTGTGGCTCGGGGCCTCAGCCTCTCTGTCTCTTCCTTTTTCAGGACTCAGGACCCAACAAGGTAAGCTGCTTCCTTCAGCCCGGGGCAGGGGAGGCCGGCGTTGGGGGGAGGCCGGCGGAGCGGGGGGAGACCGGCGAGGGGGTGAGGGCGGCGTCCCCCGTGCATTGGCGGCGGGGGGGGCGGGCAGTGAGTGCGCTGGGCGATGGGGGACCCGGGGGTGGATCCCGGGAAGGAAGAAAGCGGGCTGTGGGAGGTCCCCCGTGTCTGTGTGGACAGGGGCGTCCGGGGTCTGGGGTGGCCTCCGGCGCCTTGAGCTGCGAGGAAGGGGCGGGGCGTGAGGGGCGGGGCGGGGACGCAGTGTGAGGGGCGGGGAAGGGGCGGGGCGAGGCATGAGGGGCGGGGCAGGGAAGCGGCATGAGGGGCGGGGGAAAGGGCGGGGCGCGGAGTGAGGGGCGGGGCAGGGAAGCGGCGTGAGGGGCGGGGAAAGGGCGGGGCGCGGAGTGAGGGGCGGGGCAGGGAAGCTGCGTGAGGGGCGGGGAAAGGGCGGGGCGCGGAGTGAGGGGCGGGGCAGGGAAGCGGCGTGAGGGGCGGGGCGGGGCGCGGCATGTGCAGCCGCCAGGGTGAAGCTGAGGACTGTGTGGGACCCGCGTGGGCGGCCGGGACGCTGTTCGGGGACGGGGCGGCCCGAGAGAACCTGCGTGGGAATGCGCGAGGCAGGCAGGCGCCGCCCGAGGAGCTTCACTGGGGCGGGCGCGGCGGGAATGGCGCCCGCTCTGTCGGGAAGGAGAGAACCGCGTGGACTGAGAGGAGCTGCGTGGGGTTGCATGAGGAGTTCTGAGTGGCCACGAACACGTGTGGGGCCGTGTGAAGAATTCGGAGGAAGCATGTGGGCTGAGTAGGGAACTGCGGAGAACTGTGTGGGTGCCTTCGTGGGAGCCACAGGAGCACCTTGGGGACCCGTGTGGGGAACTGTGTGAGAGGACGCGTGGGAAACGGCGGGAGGCACCGCGTGGGTCTGCGTGCAACGGAGGGCCAGTGTGGGGAGTTGCGTTTGGAGTGGGGGGAACTGTGAGGAGCTGTGATAACCATGTGGAACTGAGAGAACAGCATGGAATGGCGTGGAAGGTGTGGAACAGCGTGGAGCGGCGTGGACTGGTGTGGAACGGCATGGAGCGGCGTGGACTGGTGTGGAACGGCGTGGAGCGGCGTGGACTGGCGTGGAAGGTGTGGAGCTGCGTGGACTGGCGTGGAAGGTGTGGAGCAGCGTGGACTGGTGTGGAAGGTGTGGAACGGCGTGGAGTGGCGTGGAAGGTGTGGAACGGCGTGGAGCGGCGTAGACTGGTGTGGAAGGTGTGGAACGGCGTGGAGCGGCGTGGAATGGCGTGGAAGGTGTGGAACGGCGTGGAGCGGCGTGGAATGGCGTGGAAGGTGTGGAACAGCGTGGAGCGGCTTGGAATGGCGTGGAGTGGTGGGCGTGGAATGGTGTGGAACTGAAAGAACAGCATGGACTGGCATGGACGCTGTGCAGGCTCTGCGTGAGGATGCTGTGCAGAGCGGGGAGGGGCCGTGTGTGGGGCCGTGAGGGACGTGATGCGTGGACACAGCGGGGCTGTGTGCGCACCTGTGACCTGTCTGGTGCCTCCTGACTGGTGAAACGTGTTGGGAGTGTGTGGCACCCGCTGTGTGACGCTGGAGCGGTGGGGGCCGCGTGACCGCGAGGGGCGGCGGGGGCAGCTGTGAGGAGGACTGGAGGGATTGTGGGCCTGGGAGAAACCACGCGGGGAGGCGTGACGAGCCATGGGGACCAGGGGGGAATGTGCGGGACGTGGGGAGGAACCGGCAGGAAGCGCCCAGCCCTGTGTGTGGACTCAGAGCACCTGTGGAGAGTGAGGCGGTGTGTGGAAGCCTGGGAACTGTGTGTGTGGGGCTGCGTGTGTGGAGCTGTGTGTGCAGCTGTGTGTGTGCAGAGCTGTGTGTGTGGAACTGTGTGTGTGCAGCTCTGTGTGTGGAGCTGTGTGTGTGTGGGGCTACGTGTGTGCGGCTGTGTGTGCAGCTGTGTGTGTGGGGCTGCGTGTGTGGAGCTGTGTAGGGAGCTGTGTGTGTGGAACTGTGTGTGTGCAGCTCTGTGTGTGGAGCTGTGTGTGTGTGGGGCTACTTGTGTGCGGCTGTGTGTGCAGCTGTGTGTGTGGGGCTGCGTGTGTGGAGCTGTGTAGGGAGCTGTGTGTGTGGAGCTGTGTGTGTGGAACTCTGTGTGGAGCTGTGTGTGTGTGGGGCTACGTATGTGCGGCTGTGTGTGCAGCTGTGTGTGTGGGGCTGCGTGTGTGGAGCTGTGTAGGGAGCTGTGTGTGTGGAGCTGTGTGTGTGGAACTGTGTGTGTGCAGCTCTGTGTGGAGCTGTGTGTGTGTGGGGCTACTTGTGTGCGGCTGTGTGTGCAGCTGTGTGTGTGGGGCTGCGTGTGTGGAGCTGTGTAGGGAGCTGTGTGTGTGGAACTGTGTGCACAGCTGTGTGTGTGGAACTCTGTGTGGAGCTGTGTGTGGAGCTGTGTGCAGCTGTGTGTATGCAGCTGTGTGTGGAGCTGTGTGTGTGCAGCTGTGTGTGGAGCTGTGTGTGTGTAACTGTGTATGTGCAGCTGTGTGTGCAGCTGTGTGTGCAGCTGTGTATGTGGAGCTGTGTGTGTGGAACAGTGTGGAGCTGTGTAGGGAGCTGTGTGTGCAGCTCTGTGTGTGCAGCTCTGTTGTGTGGAACTGTGTGTGTGCAGCTGTGTGTGTGTGTTGAGCTGTGTGTGGGGGGCGTGTGGAGCTGTGTGGGGAGTTGTGTGTGGGTGTGTGTGGAGCTGTGTGGGGAGTTGTGTGTGGAGCGGTGTGTGTGGAGCTGTGTGTGTGGAGCTGTTTGTGTTGGAGCTGTGTGTGGAGGTTGTGTGGAGCTGTGTGTGGAGGTGTGTGTGGAGCTGTGTGTGTTGGAGCTGTGTGTGGAGGTTGTGTGGAGCTGTGTGTGTTGAGCTGTGTGTGTGGAGCTGTGTGTGGAGCTGTGTGAGTGGAGCTGTGTGTGTTGGGCTGTGTGTGTGGAGCTGTGTGTGTTGAGCTGTGTGTGTGTGGAGGTGTGTGTGGAGCTGTGTGTGTGGAGCTGTGTGTGTTGAGCTGTGTGGAGTTGTGTGTGTGGAGCTATGTGTGTGGAGCTGTGTGTGGAGTTGTGTGTGTGATGTGTGCACGGAGCTGTGTGCAGAACTGTGTGTGGAACTCTGTGTGGAGATGTGTGTTTGGAGGTGTTTTGTGGGGAGCTGTGTGTATGGAGCTGTGTGGAGGCGTGTGTGTGGTGGTGTGTGTGGAGCTATGTGTGGGGTGCTGTGTGTGTGGAGCTATGTGGGGAGCTGTGTGTGTGTTGAGCTGTGTGTGGGGGGCTGTGTGTGTGTGGCTGTGTGTGTGTGTGGCTGTGTTTGTGTAGCTGTGTGGGGAGCTGTGTGTGTGGCTGTGTGAGGAGCCATGTGTGGAGCTGTGTATGGAGCTGTGTATTTGGAACTGTGTGGAGCTGTGTGTGGAGCTGTGTGTGTGGAGCTGTATGTGGAGCTGTGTGTGTAGGGCTGTGTGTGGAGGTGTGTGTGTGGAGCTGTGTGTGTGGCTGTGTGAGGAGCCATGTGTGGAGCTGTGTATGGAGCTGTGTATTTGGAACTGTGTGTGGAGCTGTGTGTGGAGCTGTGTGTGGAGGTATGTATGTGGAGCTGTATGTGTAGGGCTGTGTGTGGAGGTGTGTGTGGAGGTGTGTGTGGGGGGCTGTGTGTGGAGTTGTGTGTGTGGAGCTGTGTGTGTGGAGCTGTATGTGGAGCTGTGTGTGTGGGGCTGTGTGTGTGTGGCTGTGTGTGTGGAGCTGTGGGGGGGCTGTATGTGGAGCTATGTGTGTGGGGCTGTGTGTGTGTGGGGCTGTGTGTGTGTGGAGCTGTGTGTGTGGCTGTGTGGAGCTGTGTGTATGTGGCTGTGTGTGGGTCTGTGTGTGTGGAGCTGTGTGTGTTGGTGTGTGTGGGTCTGTGTGTGTGGAGCTGTGTGTGTGGAACTGTGGTGCTGTGGGTGTGGGGCTGTGTGTGGAGCTGTGTGTGTGGAGCTGTGTGTGGCGCTGTGGGCGTGGGGCTGTGTGTGTGCTGTGGGTGTGGAGCTGTGTGTATGGAGCTGCGTGTAGGGGGCTGTGTGTGTGGGGCTGTGTGTGTGTGTGGAGGTTTGTGTGTGGAGGCATGTGTGTGGCTCTATGTGTGTGGACCTGTGTGGGGAACCGTGTGGAGCCATGTGTGGAGCTTTGTGAGACGCCGGAAGAACCTGTGTGAGGAGTGGAGGAAGAAATGCCTCAGGAACCATGTGGGGAACGGGAGGAACTCTGAGGGCCTGAGTGGAGCTGTGTGGGGACATGGGGAGCCGTGGGTGGTGCCGGAAGAGGCAGTGTGTACAGCGGGGTGGGGAGCCGTGTGGGGAGTTCAGTGAGGAACTGTGTGTGGAGCTGGGTTGGGAGCTGTGTGGGGAACTGGGTGGAGGCGGCGTGGGATTGCGTGACAGAACCTTGCGGAGCTGTCTGTGGGGCCACAGGAGGAACTGTGGGAAATTCTATTGGAAGCCTGTGGGAATTGCTTGGGGCAGGGCATGCTTGTGTGGGGACCCATGTGAGGGCTCTGTGGAGCTGGAGCTGTGCATAGACTCTGAGGACCCAGGGAAACACGGCTTCTTATGATTCTCCACGCAACTTTTCAGTCTCGGCAACAACCCCTTACACGGTGCTGCACACATGTCCCCAAAAAGTTTCTCAGGTCCTCAAACCATTCCTTACACAGTTCCACACCTGCTTCCCCACAGTTCCCACACTCCCCACACTGGTTCCCACACTCCTCCATGCCAGTTCGCACACTCCCCCATGGTTCCCACACTCTCCCCATGGTTCCCACACTCTCCACACCAGTTCCCACACTCCCCCATGGTTCCCACACTCTCCCCATGGTTCCCACACTCTCCACACCAGTTCCCACACTCCCCCATGGTTCCCACACTCTCCACACCAGTTCTCACACTCCCCCATGGTTCCCACAC